TGCAGATAAGGAGCCATCAGGGGCTGCTGAGAGGTCCCCACCCAGCATATCTGCAGGGTCACCCTGCTGCAGGGTGTGGGGGTCAGGGCCCTTTGTCCTGCCACCCTGGGGGGGGACACGGAGGGTCTTGAGGGAACCGCCAGTGCCCTGGGGAGGGCATTGCAGCAAAGCACCCCCTGTGAGCCCCATTGCTGGTTGTCACTGTTGGCTGCCAGGCTGTCCATGAGAGGGACAGGTACTCCCAGGGCCACCCTCCTGTCCCCCAGAGCAGGGAAGTATGTGCGGGGCTGGGATGGGGACACCAGGCTCACTGGGTCCCTGTGGGGTGCAGGGGCTCTGGTGGCAAGGCAAGGGGAGCTGGTGGCAGCAGGAGCTGCTGGGACAGACAGAGCCACCAGCCAACACCAGCCCTGCTCCAAACACCGGGGTATCACCAGTTGGGGTGTCCCCAGTTGGGGTGTCCCCAGTTGGGGTGTCCCCAGTTGGGGTGTCCCCAGTTGGGGTGTCCCCAGTTGGGGTGTCCCCAGTTGGGGTGTCCCCAGTTGGGGTGTCCCCAGTTGGGGTGTCCCCAGTTGGGGTGTCCCCAGTTGGGGTGTCCCCAGTTGGGGTGTCCCCAGTTGGGGTGTCCCCAGTTGGGGTGTCCCCAGTTGGGGTGTCCCCAGTTGGGGTGTCCCCAGTTGGGGTGTCCCCAGTTGGGGTGTCCCCAGTTGGGGTGTCCCCATGGTGCCCAGCTCTCTGGGTTAACCATGGCAATGCAGCTGGAGGTCACCAGCCACCCTTGGTGACTCCTGGCTCCATCCTCAGCCATGTGGGAGCAGGACAAGGCTGTACCCCCAACTCAGGATAGCTGGGAGCAGAGCCCACGGGGACATGGTGATCACAGGAAGGTCACAAGCTCTGGAGGAGCAGCATGAACTGGGACACCACTTCCATGCACTGATTGTTCCTCCATCCCAGGGGGAACAGCTGCCCATTTTGGGGCCAGCAGCCCCAGCCATGGCTGGTCAAGCACCAGCTCTGGCACAGGCCCGGGAGGGTGGGTGCAGGAGGCACAAGTCAAGAGCCAAGACAGGCAGTGACAAGGAGGTGACAAGGCTTTATTATCACACAGCAGTGAGGGTGGCAGGGACACAGACAAGCACATGCAGATAGGGCACCTCGCCCGGCGCGCCCAGAGCCAGATCTGAGCCCGTGGCCCCAGCACACGCCGGGGGCTGATAACAACACCCGTGCTCCCCACCCAGGTGGTGGGGGGGGATGGGGTCCCACTGCACCCTCCACCCCACAGTAGGTCAATGATGGCCAAGGGACTGGCGAGTATTGGGGGCACTGCCAGCGGGAGGGGCTGGGACCTGGGTCCCTGCACCCACCAAATGGCAGGAGGGGGGTAGCACCAAGCTGTGGGTGAAGGAGCTGGTGGAGGGACCCCCAGCACCCCACAGTGCCTGGGCAGGTCACCCCACTGCCAGGCTGACTTCACACGTGGGTTTGGCTGCTACAAGTGAGGGGACAGGCAGGGATGGGACATGGGCCAGCAACAGGCCCTGGTGGGGACACACAGAGGGGACAAGCTCACAAAGCCACTTGGCCACACAAGACATGGGGCCCAAAGGTGGTAGGGGCTTCTGCACTGCCTGGCTGGGCAACCCCTTGCCAGCA